GACACTAAGGACACTGTGACACTACGGACACTGAGAGACACCATTAGACACTGGGATACATAGGGGACACTGTGATACATAGGGGACACAGGAGACTTGATAAAGACCTGGGTTCAGGTTGAAACATTGCAGTGTCCAATAAACATGCTTAAATCTATCACAGTGAGTGCCTGAGATTTTTTTCTTTTATACTAGGGGACACTGAGACACTGGGAGACTAGGAAACACTGAGACACTATGAGACACCAGGGACACGGGTGTCAAAGTCACCCAGTGTGCCCATGTCTCACATGTTGCCCAGTTTCCCCTAGTGTTTGTGTCCCCATGTCTTCCAGTGTCCCTTAGTGTCTGTGTCCCCATGTCTCCCAGTATCACTAGGACTCTAGGGGACACTGAGAGACATTGTAAGACATGGGAACACTGAGACACTAGGGGATACTGGGAGACCTGGGAACACTGAGACACTTGGGGACACTGGAAGACATGGTGACACTAAGAGAAATGGGGACCAGAGAGACTAGGGGACACTGAGAAACACCAGGGACACTGACAGACTAGGGGCCACTGGAGACATGGGGCACTTTGTCCCTAGTGTCTCACAGTCCCCATGTCTCTCAATTTCCCCTAGTGTTTGTGTCCCAAGGTCTCCCAGTGCCTCTATGTCGCCCAGTTTCCCCTAGTGTCTCAGTGTCCCCAGGTCTCACAGTGTCCCCTAGTGTTTCAGTGTCCCCAAGTCTACTAGTGTCTACCTGCAGCCTTTCCCCTCCATCCCTCACTTACCTGAGCTGTAGGCTGTCTCTGAAGGTTTGGACCTGCTGTCTAGACTCTCTGTGCAGAGCTGCTCCCCCCGTGAATCAGTGAGTAGAGAGAGACATGGAGGGAGATGCTGTAACTTCCTTTCCCTGCCTCTCTCCACGCACACAGCAACCCCTACTGGCCAGCACTGGTATTGCAGAATAATCTCTGTTTATACTGAGACTGACATTTGTATTTCCGGTATTACTGCAGTACCGGCACCGGCTAGGCAGCCTCAAATACCGGAGAAATACTGACCACTAGGCAACCCTAAGAGTAGTGTGTAAAAAAAAAGAAAAGTAGTTTATGCTATTATTTGTGTTCTTTTAACGATTCCATATCTTGAAAAGAAATAAACAAAACAAAACATGGAAACCATATAAATATTTTATACACGCACTTTATTGGAATTTCCATATTGTGAATATTTCCACTTTAATAAAAATTATATTCATTTAAGAGCACACGCACCTTATTGAAAATTGCACAAATCTTTGTTAAAAGTACATCAAGGGTTCGGATTTGGGATATAAACAGACGTTTGGTGACCTATAAGGCTCTAAGTCATCTCAGGTCATTTCACAATGGGAGTTACCATAACTAAAAATAATAACACTACATTTATAATTTCATATTACACCTTTATAATTAAAGGCTAAATATAACAGGTAAAACTGTCCCATCATATGCCAAGGTGTTAAAAATGAGATCAGTAGTTCAGCTTACAGAACAGATGTGTAAACATTCAAACATTAAATGAAGTCATCTCAATGTGAAGAGATACATTTTATAATATACAGTGCTCACAGAACAGAAAACAAAAGGAACTGATTGCAATGTAATATGTCTTGTGTGATTAGATTTTAGAGATATATGCTGTATTAGTAAACAGAGGGATATTTCTAAAACCAGTGGGTGTGAACTGTAATTAGAACTACCATTTAGAATACACCTACTCTCCAAAATGTGCTGTAAATATCCTCCGCTCTGAACTGATGTTGTGCGAACTTATATGTACAGTATAAACTTTAGTGGATTGATCTTTGAGTTTAGTTTTGTTGTTCATAAAGTGGACACTTTTGGAGATGGTGTCACCTCAGAAACATTGTGGTCTATTGGTTACTGATGGATTAAGTAAAATACGATCTAATAATAATAACAAAGTATTTAACCAGCAAAGATACATTCAGCTATTCTCTGGTTTCCAAGTACGTGCTCGGAATGTTACTTTTACCCAATATCCAGGGGATGTTTACATTGCAGGATAAAGTGACAATCGATATTTAACTGACATTGGTATCTGTCTACACCTTCCCCAAAAGACCCTTGGTATCAACATGCTCCAGTATATGAAGTATATACATCCCTATGTAGGGACGATATTAGAGGGAGCAATGCAGAATTATGTATTGTACCCATAGCCCCTAAATATTTCTAACCAGTGACCCAAGACCCCCACCTAGGCATGCACCACCCCAGGAGCATCTTCGCACCCATCCCCAGATGTCCTGTCAGATACATCAGAAAGTCAGTGTGTTAAACAACAATCAGGTAGTGCTTCCATGTAGATCTATGTAGATCTGGGAACATCCCTGAGCTGAAAGTGTCAGTTCCTCCAATCTTCACAAATCCTCCATTTTGTCAAACCACACAGTTAAGGGTGGGGTATGTCTTTTGTCCAAATTACAGGTAGAACTTGTTTTTAAGGTTTAGTAGCAAATGGTGATTTAGTACATATCTCCTTTACATGGAGTGAAATTTGGTTACAAGTTGCTTCGGATTCACCCTTTGTCTAGGGACCAGTAATCAGTTTATTTTAGCTCAGTTTATTTTAGGCCTTAAAAATATTTGGTCAACTGATTTATTTTGAAAATCAGTATTTATTTATTTTTTGTACCTTTTTTGTACCTCAAAGGCCCATATCTATTTCATTTTTATTTTGTGTTTTATATTACAGCAACTCTCACCATCTAATTTAAAATCTTTTTTTGGTTCTGCCCAATTTTCTAAATATTTTCATTAGTCCCTGGCCATATCTTATAGTTAGGATAGCCTATCCCACGCATGCTTAAACTCCTTCACTGTTTTAACCACTACCACTTCAGCTGGAAGGCTATTCCATGCATCCACAACCCTCTCAGTAAAGTAATACTTCCTGATATTATTTTTAAACCTTTGCCCCTCTAATTTAAGACTATGTCCTCTTGTTGTGGTAGTTTTTCTCCTTTTAAATATCTGTACAGACTCTATTAAAACCACTTCTTTTGGAAGAGAATTACCTTATTTTTCTTAAGGTAAAAAGACCCTCTCCTTTGCCTTGGACTAAATCTCCTTTCTTACATTCTAAATGCGTGACCTCATGCCCTATGTATACTCCTGTTTAGGAAAAGACTTCAAGACAATGGTTTGTATTGGCCATAAATATATTTGTATAATGCCATCATGTCCCCTTTGAGGAATGATTTTTCGGAACTAGACAGATTTAGGTTTGTTAACCCTTCTTCATAACAAAAATGTTTTATTCATAAAATTGCATCTTTGTTTTTGTACTAACATTTCAGACCCTGTGTGAAAATATTTCATGATGAAGGACACGTTATAACAGTATGAAAGAATGTGCTTCACCTGATGGTCTTTTTTAAACCTAGACTATTATGTATACTGTGTGAGGCTTTTAGTTTCCCAAATATATATATATATATATATATATATATATATATATTTTTTTTTTTTTAAAGGATGAACAAATAATAGAAAAAAAGTAAATTTACATGATATTAATTTTTAAGTTTGTCTGCAAAGCAATCTTTACACGGACTTGCTGTGTTATATGTGTATATGCTAGCTACAAATCCATTGCTTCCAAAAAAAAGAGTTATGCTCATATTTTTCAATCACAAAGTGCGGTAGTGAAGGGATTAAACTAACACTTCGAGTACCATAACCAGTACGGCACACTTTAGTGGTTATGGTGCAACAAGTGCCCTTAAGCCCCAAGATTATAAATTGACAAAGCATTTCAGAATGGTTTGAATTCTTACCTGGAGTCCATTGAGAATCACTCCTTATCGCCACAACGTTTGACAGACACCCTAGCTAAGCTCTGCAGTTCCGGGGCGAGCTCACTGGCTGAGGATGAGCTGCTTTCTTTCAGCCACTGAGATAAGCCCTGCATTGCCGGTAGTAGAAAAGGGTAGCGGCACCCAACGGACCCTGGTGCAATGTAGTGCTCATGGTGCTTATGAATTGTTCCTCAAATCGTTTGCTGTTATATTAAGTTCTCTCCTTTCTTGGGATACAGATACCATAGCCAGTATGGTAACTTTAAGGTATATGTGATTCCTTTAATCAATGTTCCAATAGTCTTAGCATCCATCTAATCATCTAAAGAATCTGAATCATCTAAAGAATACTTCTGAAGAAAACATCTTCGGAGGGAAATTCAGCCTCAGAAATATCAGTTAAAGAGTCCTCCCATATTCCATGTGTTGAATGTCTAGGATGCCTTTGAAGCCTATGTTCTTCCATACTTTGGTCCATTACCATCTGAATCCATTTCATCACTTCATTAGAGCGCCATGCAGCATCAGAGAAACATTGACCACAAAGTTTCCCATCTTCCAGTGCCTTAGCATCACATGCTGCACATCTGTTAGATTTGTGGGACTTTTTTCCTCCTCCTTGTTCAGCTCTTGTAAGGATACATACTCAGGGACAAAAAGAATAGTTCCTAAGGGGACTGATGGTGTGTGAAGGGAACCTGAAAGGGGGTAACACTAAAAGGCACATACAAATAAATACAAATAAACACGTAAACATGTAATGGGCTCTAAGGCCCCAAAGACACAAAAATGTCCCTTGTAGAAATATAATGAAAATAATAAATATACAATTTTATTAATTATAAGCAAAGAGACATTTGAAAAAATACAGTATTTTTTTCAATTGTCTTTTTGCTTATAATCAATAAAATTGTATATTTATTATTTTCATTATATTTCTACAAGGGACCTTTTGTGCCTTTTGGACCTTAGAGCCCATTAGACATTTACGTGTTTATTTATACCTTCTCCGGGACACTGCAAAAAATGCAAACAGTCCCAACACGAATGACCTGAATTTAGCACACTTTCCCCACTTTCCCCCTGGCTAGCTTGATTGCTAGAAGAGGACCCCCGAATGATCTGGAAACAGACATAAGGACAGCTGGAATAAATTCAAAACAAGAATTGTTTTTTTTTTTTTTAGGGAATAAATCAACTTTAGCATAAGGAATAAAATTCAAACACTTATCCTAACTAACACTCCGCCAAAGAGATGAGCCAAGAGCCAGTTCTTGTATCTAAGCAGGATCAGGAGATGGTGAGGATGCTGCACTGACAAAAGGTTAAAATATACACGATGTCTGAGTTTCAAGAATCTTTCTCTGCAATTCATCGTATTATGCATGCTTAGAGTCCCAAAAGAGAGCTACCCAAAGATTGAAATTGTGCAATTATCTGATGCAGATGAAAACACAAACTAATTCTCATTCAGACCCCCCAAATTCACAATCGTCGAACAAAAAGCGGCGCAGGTTACGTTCGGCTACCCGAATTTGCAAAAACTTTGAACGGAGGCAGGAACTGCAAAAGGGAGCCAATCAAAATAGTGACAAACCAGACGCAGACACAAACCAGAGAATGAGAGAATAGAGCAGGAAGCATGGAAAAAAAACGAAACTTCCAGGAAATAGGTATGTAGGAGAGAAACATATTATACAAAAGCAATAGAGCTGTAAAGGGCGCCCTCATATGTGAAACTTACAGCTTTTCTTAAAAACATGGACGGTCCTTCTCCAACACTGCTAACCATAGATTCACTGTATATTTCACAGGGTCCCTGTAACTAAGGATTACCCTTATCCCCCAGGGGCTGATCCTAAATGGGGCTACATACTGGGGGCTTCCGAGAGAGAGAGGCTAAATGGGGCTACATACTGGGGGCTCTAAGGTCCAAAAGGCACAAAAGGTCCCTTGGGACATGCTAAATGAAAATTATCCAAGGTAAGCTAAAATAAAAATGTGTTTAGGTAAAGTAATTTACCTAGTACCATGTCCACAGCCAAGAGGATAGAAAAAAGACTGGAGACCTATGGAAGGGGAGGTCCTATTTATAATTTATTTCCTGTCCCAAACAGCCAAGTGGGCAGAACTAACCCTATTTTGATGCTGCCATGGATTAGCCAGGAATACAAAATATCACATACACAATGCAATTTTCTTTCAGTTTAAGAATAATGAAAGGTCTGGATTATCTTGTAAATTTATACAATACATTATTAAGGTAATTGGTGTGTGCACATTTATTTACAACATTGTACGAAATAATATAATTCTCTCTGGAAAGCAGACAGACATTAATTTCCTTGCATATAAACCAGTGACTTGCAATGTTTTATATAAATGCTTTAGTCAGAAATTAATTGTTTGATTGTATCTTCTCAGGAGATTAAGCTTAGCGTTGAGTTGTTAAACCACTGTCTGGCAGGCAGTGCGAGCTTGTGGATCACTATGAAAAGTTTATTGGAACGCCTTAATGTTTAATGATGAATGGAGAGCGTAAGAGGATTCTATACCACGGGAAAATTAAAGCTTTCACTTTTCTGCAAATAAAATCCAGTGATAAATAAAAATGAAAAGTAGATATCCTTCTCAAGCCAAGATCAAAAACCAATAAGCAGATAAACAGAATCAGGAACGTGTTCCCTTCAAACCAACAGGTTGGAAACCACGACATGGCACGGAACAACTGCAGGTTTGGTTTTAAATAACCCAGTAAACGCTGCTATTGGCCCCATAAATGTGCGTTTTCACCATGCAAACACATTCATGGGGCCAGCGTTTACTGGGTTATTTAAATCCAAACCTGCAGTTGTTCAGTGCCATGTCGTGGTTTCCATCCTGTTGGTTATCTGAGACCACGTTCCTGATTCTGTTTATCTGCTTATTGGTTTTTGATCTTGGCTTGACTTCCCGTATTTCTGGTATCTGACACGTTGGCTTTGTTCTTACTGTATTTGTTCCTTTCTGTATTCCTGACTAAATGCATGTTGGGCCACATTACAACTGTTTATTCTATTACATTAATTTTAGCCATTCTTAGGCCCGGTAATACGTTGTTACTGTTTGTCTTTGTTACTGTAGCGGAGAGCTGATATTTCACAGGTAATCTCCACTCAGGATCCCAGTGAGGCTCAGGAACAAATATTAAAAATCCATAAGACAATAATTCCAGCAGACAAGACAATCCAATAATATCCCAATATCAATCCCAATGACTGGACGACACACAGCATCAGGAGCAGAACTGAACTTTTAATCACTCAACCTTCTTTTAAAGCTTTCTCCCATGCAAGGGAGGGATTTACAGTAATTACACAATACACTAATCATACATGAGTTGCCACCCACACATCCCCCCCCCCTTAGTATGACTCCTAATCCCATTATGCAGGACACAGTTTCGCTGGTTTTCTGGATGTACCCCTAAACATAGGGGTACCCTTTTAAATATTACCTCCCCTGGTAGCCCTGATCTGGGTGAGACACATATCCAAAAATCACCCAGATCGGACCAGGGGTTCGGGAAATTCCTGGAGGTAATAAAAAGACAGACCGCGCTGGAGTTAACAGCCGAAAAGAGTTCCATACATTTTGGCCCTGCGGTCGGTCACAGAAAAAGGGAATAAAATACACAAATTGCTTGGGTTATGGAGACTGGGGAGGATTCGGGTAAACCCCACGGGGTTCTTTCTACCAAATGGGGAGCCGTTTGGTAGTTCCTACACGAATTGACGGTAGTGTGGAGGTCTCAGCGGTGTTTGCCTACCCGAATGTCCGATTTGGGTTCCAGACACTCGATGGAAAAACACAGCTGTTCGGGAGTTTAAGATGGCCGCCGCCACATGTTCGTCTCCCGAATGGCGGCCACCCAGAGGACAAAGCACACACTGCATGGATTGCCAATTATCCGTTTGCAACATTGTTGCGAACGGTAATTGGAGGCACACTTATTCCTGGGGTGGTCTGATTGTTCGGTAGTTTCACTCGCATAATAACTGGAGGGATTTTACCGAACAAGCAGCCGAATGCTGCATACACTTTACATACATATGGCAAAATTTTACCGAACACATATAAGACTGACAGCCCGCCGCAATGCCATCTGCTACAGTTACGTGTTTTACTTAATTCTGCATGTTGGGCCACTGATTTGTCCTGACATTACAACAGGGACATGGACCCTGCTGAGTTAGGTCAACAAATGTTGGCTTGTAAAAAAAGGCTGAAAGTGACAGTATGGATCAATTCACCAAGGTCTTTCAGACATTCTCCCTGTGTCATCCAGATGACTAGGCGTGGCCACCCCATAAGTGTTCAACAGGGGATTTGAACCTGGGGACTTCTGCATCCGAAGCCTGCGTTCCTGCCTCTGAGCCACTTCTGAACTTTGGATCTAGACTTGTTTATCTGGCATTGCCTGCAGCATTAGATGGCTGGACTTCACCAGTGGCTTCCACCTGTCTGTCAATCTAAGTCCACCTGAGGCAGATGGATCATTATCCACCTATATAACACTGCCTCTCCCTGAGGGCAGGGTTAGTTCATTGTTTCTTGATCCTGTTGTTTAAGACTGACTTGGCTTGCTTCTGGATCTTCATGATTGCCTGTTCACTGCCTGCCCTGACCTTTGGAACCATGTCTGACTACTCTTCTGGATTTGCCCTTGTCTGTTTCCTTGTACCCGGTTACTGTTCCTGCCTAAGCCCCCGTGCACAGATTCACAGCCCAGGTAGCTTCTTATCTGGTTACTGTGGGCTGTGTTTATCTGCAAGAGTGAGCAAACCTCTCTGCACTTCGTACTCCAACTAAGGTAAGCCTTGACATAACGAACTGACCATCATGGAGTCCACAGAGATGTGCAAACTGCTTACCCAGCAAGTGTCCAGCCTGGCCCAGACTGTTTTGGAGCTGCAGTGAGAAATTCAGTTTCTTAAGCCCCAGAACCTGCAAATTCTGAGCCGTTTGTTGTTATGCCAGAGAGATTTGACGGTAGCCGTGCATCCGTCCAGTGCTTTAAGGTGGATTGTGAAATTTTATTTGCCTTAAAGCCTCGGACATATGCCAGTGACTTTATCATGGTCCGTGCAGCTATCAACCTGCTGTCTGGATGGATCAAGACATGGGCACACCAGATGTTGCTGGCCAGAGACAGGAAAACCTTGTACCAATGCCATGCCTCCTTGTTGCTTCTTTATGATCCGGTTCCGAGGGAGACTCCAATGGACAAAGAGGAACCTTTGGAGATCGGTGTCATCCACTCCAGGTTGTCTTTCGAGGAAAGAAACAGAAGGAGAGGACATGGCTTCTATTTTTACTGTGGAGAAAGAGGGCACTTTATCTCTCTGTGCCCTACGTGCCCCCCTGGCCTCATGCTCTCCATTTGGGAACTGTCCAGATCTACCCGGTCAGTAATGCACCTCTGTCTGTGAATTGCCAGCACTGTTGTCATACCTGTTCACGTTCATCTTTGGCCAAAGGTACTCCGACTACGTTAATTGACACTGTCAACGTCCTTCAAGAACCTTCTACTGGGACCTCTGTGATACCTCTACCGCTCCAGAAATGGCTGCACTGCCTCCTGAAAATACTCCTGTTCTAGCTAGTACTAACACGACTTCCAGCCTGCTCAAAGAAGATATACCGCCAGATTCACAGCCCAGGTAGCTTATTTTTTTTAAAAAAAATTCTATTTTTGTGTGCACATGTTTAACAGATGATCTTTCAATGCCCCAACAGTGCTGGCAAGACCGCTAATTGGAAAACGCATATTAGTTACAAGGCATTCGAGTATACTGCACTTTTTTATGTAGTGTAAATTACAGGCTAGGCAGAACTTGTCTATGTTAACTTTTAAGCGAGAGAAACTAGGCTATACAAAATCCTAGGCATATTGATAGAGGTGTGAAAATAAAATGAGTAAGACAGGCTAACAAAGTATAACTGATGTGCTGGGTTGACATAAAACAGAATGATATAGACCTAAATAATGTGAAATAAAACAGAATATCTGTTGGGTTGCACTTCCACAGCAAATCAGTTAGATGGAGATTCCAGGCTATTAATGCTTTTGCCGACAATGGTGCAGCACATCAGTCACGGTAAGCACCACATCTGAGCATTGTATTAGAGGGTCTGCATGGGGACGCTTAGCTGATGCCTGATAATGGCAGGCTGGCAACACTAAGACATGAGTTCATGTAGGCTTGCAAGCCCGTTTGGTGGGCCTTCCTCTGATGTCCCCGGATTCATGCTGGTGCTGGAGCCGCCATTTTGAGGAGTTAGGAGACCGAGTGTCCCTGATCGTTGGGCTTTGAGTCGGCCCAGTTTTGTGAGCTAGT